ACATATGTTGCCTTAGGCAGCTGCCCAATGGCAGCAGAGCACATAATATGAATGCAAAAGGTCCCAGATTCAACTCCTGGCATCTCCAGGCAGGGGAAGGCTCTTCTCTGAAACCCTGAAGAGCCCCTGTTGGTCAGTGGAGACAACACTGTTAGATGGACCACTATAAGGCAGATTAGAATGTTTGTAAGGAAATGCTTCCGCTTGCTTGTCAGGTGACCCCATGGGGTTTTGTCTGGCTCTATCAAGGCTTAGGGTTTGGTCCAGCTCCTTCAGCTTGGGAACTTGTCTTTAGGAAAAGAGACTTAGCTGATGATGTGAGACTACCTTCCCCCCGCCATCCTGTCCGCTCATTGGTGCCTGACTTTCTTCTTCCCTGAGTTTCCAGACTCCATGCCTTGACATAAACCCCTGTGAAAATATCACATTACCAGATGCTGGGGAGAACTGCAACGTGAAAGAAGAGATGGAGTGAGGGGGGAGAGAGAAGAATGAAGAGAAGAGAACATTTCAGCTGACAGCATGTTCTGTCAGCAGAATCATATTTCTAATTTAGCAGCGTGCACCACATGGATATTTCAGCAGGGAACTCATGCCTGCAATGCACACATGTTACCCGTGGGATTGGCCACTTTCCTTCTTTCAAAAGCAACATAAGAATCAATGGCAAAATTTTATAGTGTGTTTAAAAAGCAAGGAAATGTGGGGCTGAGCAATTCCTCTGCTCGGTGGATAGGAACAGCAACAGCCTTAACTAGGATATGTGACATAAAATAGTAGAAAGAATCGAGGCCTCTGCAGCAGGGATGAAGAACCTGTGCCCCCCAACCATGATGTTGATGGACTCCAACTCCCACCACTCCCAGCCAGCATGACCAATGGCCAGGGCTGATGGGAGTTGTAGTCCAGCAGCATCTAGCAGGCCACAGTTTCCCCATCCCTGCTCTACCATCTTGAAAAGGGTGCCTGCCTCTTGCCTTAACTCTGTGCTTAATGTGTCTGCCAATTAATATGCCCGCAAAGTCCAGGATAGCTAAGCAGTGTTTCCAGTTGTGGCACACAGAGTGATTAGTGTTGTCAGGCTCAGATGGTAACTTATTTTGTCCTCATTATAACCTTGGGAGGGGGCGCTGAAGTACTTTATAATTATGCTGCTTGATTGTTGAGCTCTCCTCTGTTGCATTTCAGAACTTCCCAGCCTGTTTTAAGCATTTAACACTCTGCACTGAAGCATCTCTCAGGTCACCTCTAACGATCCTTAAATATTGATTCTTTCTAATGAGCTTTGCATAAGTCACAAGGGGGACTTTCCAATTAAAATATACTTTTGGAATACACTAAGCAAAAGAGGCTAATTCTGCACCAGCTAATTCAGGGGCTAATTGATCTAAATTTATTTCCTGAATCTTTTCGAGAAGAAATAGATCAGATTACTCGGTTCTAGCCACCTTTGGTGCCACTGGCAATTCTTTCCACTTCAAGTATAATATTTCATGACGCACCACTTCCTACATACAGTACAGTACGGTATATTGTCAACATTTTTACATTCCTTAATTGGATTTTATTTATTTATTTAAAAAAGTGAAGTTATGCCTTTAACAGCTCTGAACAAAATTTGTGAATGTAGAATTTTTTTTAAATGCCATCTGCTGTTAAATAATGCAGGGTATTGTTGAAGTTTCTGCCACAGTTGTTTTTCTCTAAATATGAAGCGGCATGAGCTACTGGGCTCTGCTTTTGAATGTTAGCCTTGACTTATTTCCTATGCTGCAAAAAAGCCCACAGTAAGTCATGGAATCAAGATGTTTTCGCCTGTCATCCCCTCCTTCTTTATTCCATTATGAATCAATAAGATCCCCAACAAATTGGTAATGAAATTCATCAGAATTAGAAGTTTTAATTAAATGTAACAATGGTTGGCATTTTTAAATGTACATCACTTGGTGCATGTACTAGCAAAACTGTGAGCCATATATTTTAATCAAGATGATACTAACATAAGCCTGTAAGAGAGCTGATTCTACTATCCTAGCAGCTAGGTTATTTATTTCAGTTTACTTTTGCAATATTGTTATGCTTCCTTGGTGTATACAATGCAGGGCAAAAGCATTAAGGAAATTCAAGCATATTGAAAAAGAATTTCAAATTAATTTCCTGGCATCACAGATGCAGATCCCAGTGGGATGTTAATATAAATGTCATTTCTTTTGAAACATAATGTGAGTCTGTTTAATCTTTCATCATTAATCTTCATAAAAAAATGAGTTAGCAGAAGAGGCAAGGAAGAAGAATCCTTACCACATCCTGCTATTTATAACATCATGCAGCTTCCTTCAAACAAGCAAAAATATTATCAATTTGCTCCCATTTACTCTCTCAATTGCCACGTTTAAGCAACAGATTTTGTTGTACAATATACGAGCAATGTGGTGGGTTCCAAAATTAATCTGTGCACTGTCATAAAAACTGCATTTCTGATATACCATTTGAGTCATGGACTCCTCTGTACACAGACAGCTAATCTTAAACAGCTCTTTATGCCTGAGAACTGTTGCCGCATATTTTTTTTAATGCCCTCCTCTTGATTGGAAAATAGGATTCTACAAGTCGGAGCATGTTAAAATTCACAGATGGCGGGGGGAGAGATTTGCATAGCCTCTCTGTGTTTTAGCTAACGTTGGATATTATACCTACGAACTTTACCCAGTGCTGTAACTATTGCCACACCCCACTCACCCTCCTAGCCTTTCCCAAGTATTCACCCCATTCAAACAGGCACGAATTCCTGTCATAGTAACAAGAGAAGACATGGCTGAAGGAAGACAGTAGAATCCTTAAACAAAGTGGATTCAGTAGCACTGGAGTCTGGGGATTGGGGGAGACAGCTCCTCTAAGGACCGGAAGAGGTTAAAGATTGTGTCCCTGTGGTCCAGCATGATTCCACATTCCCTTGGCCCCACTCAGCTGAGCCATTGCACAGGACTCTGGCAGGCCAAGCAAGAAGAAGTGAAGTGGTAGACAATATGCCACATCCAAAGTTCTGCAAGCTCACATGAGGTGACCAGAGGGACTTTGGATCCAGGGGAACCTAGTGACCCTTGCCCTGGATCACCTATTTTAGGAACAGCTGTCAGTGGCAGATTTACACCTGAGAATCGTTGGGGCCACTTGGGTGAACCCTGCCCCTTCTGTTAGTGGACGGTCACTTCTTCCCCATGCTAACCAATGGGTCACGCATCTGGCTGTTTAGCAGAAGGTTGGTGGTTCGAGTCCACCCAGGGATGGCTGTGGGCAGGATTCCTACATTGCAGGGGGTTGGATTAGATGACCCTCAATGTCCCTTCCAACTCTACAATTCTATGATTCTTTTATTCCAACCTCTGCAGCTGGTTTATCTGTGTAGGACTGCATGAACTATGTAATTGGTCATATGTAATGGATATTCTTTGCATAGTTTTAAAAGGTAAGAAAAAGTCAAGGATAATGGGTCTGTGCCCCTAGCACATTGGTCGTAAGAGCTAAATAGAACCTCCACGTATATCTCTAAGTACCAGGTGCTAGAGGAAAATGACAGGGAATGATTTGCTTGCAAACTTCTGGCTGGTCACTATTGGAGACTGAAGATTGGATTAGAGGGACCCTGGATTAGGTTTGTCCCAAGCAATGAGCATGTACACCACCAAAAGTCTTGTGCAAACAAGCCAACATGTGCAGTAGCATGCAGAGGAAGGTGACATCACTCAACACTTAAATTTAAGCTGCAGTAGCACTTTGAAAATGCAAAGACATTTGAGTCCATCGCAGTACATGTTTCCATGTCTCCTTCCATTATGTATTCATCTTATGATGCCTATTATTTCCATTCCGTGAACTCTTCTATAAGGCAATGCTGCGTGTGTGTCATAACGGTTAAAGCTTCTCAAGATGATTTTGCCCTAGACTGCAAACTATGTGCCAATCATGTGCTTTTATATCTCTGTGTGAAAGACCTGACTTAGTTAACAAGGCATGTCTGCTATTGTTATGGAAACGGCATTTTTATGAGCACATTCTCTAGCATTAAAATAGCTCTGTGCTTACACTTTGGGGTGAGTATGGTTAAGATTTCTTATCACGAAATAGAGACTCTAATATTCTGAAAGCGATTCTCTCTTTAGGAAATTGGAGAGGAAGATAGTAAAAAAAATTATAGGTATCTCTACTCTACTTGTCTTAAAAAGCCTTCTTTACCTGCAGTAGCAGAAGTTTCTTTTTGTGCCATATCAGCAGATTCCTGTCTATAGAGAGCCAGTGCGGTATAGTGGCTAGAGTGCTGAAATCCCAGGATCAGATCCCTACTCAAGCTTGAAGATCACTGGATAACCAAGGACCAGTCATTTGGTTGTATCCAGTCTTAGTTCTACTCAGAGTAATTGGCATTATTAATTTAGGTCCATTAATTTCAATGGGTCTGCTCTAAGTAGAACTTTAACCACATAGGGCTGTTGTGTGGATACAATGCTAAATTCATTATTGTTATATTTGCATCCCATTGGAAGAAAAGTGGGGTACAAATGTAGTAATATTGATAATGATGCAGGCCTGGACTCTCAATAGTACATTTCTTAGATTATAACAGTATCCCAGCTCCCTGAAAAATGTAACACAAGTACTTCAGGGAAAACATTTTTGTATCCCAATATAAATTCAAATGTATCTTGGGATAATAAAGGACTCAAAACAAAGCCATTGTGTGTTGTGTCAGAAGAAAGCACCTTAAATCTTTTACTTTGGAATCTGTTTTTGTTCAAAAAAAGGCACAGGCCATTATTATCCCAATAACATTAGCTGGAAAAAGAAAACACCCCAGTGGCAGATTCCTTGAGATATTGGTTGCCCCAGGTCTTTGTTTTGTTTTCAGAAAAAGAAAACTGCTTGGGGCTGAATTATAGAATTGTAGAGTTGGAGAGAGACCACAAGGGTCATCTAGTGAAACTCCCTGCAATGCAGGAATCTTTTTACCCGACATGGGGCTTGAACCCACAACCTTGAGCATGAGTCTCATGCTCTACTGGCTGAGCTATCAGAGATAAAGAGCAGCTTTCATTATAATTTTTTTACCTCAGCATTGGCTAGGGTGAAAAGCATTCCACCTGTAAAAATCAATTGGTTTCATTCTGATATCCAGCTCCTCCCAGCATTTTGTTGTGTGCTTTTTGTGTACAGAAAGAAAACTGTAAAGGGGAAGAGGCTGAAATTTGGGGACGTTTTTATTGCTGTGCAGGTGACCATGTGCTAGAATACAATGCGGTAGGTCGACTTCTGTGTAAATGGGGTAATGAAAAGTGCACCAGCAAAAGTAATTGCACTGCAAGGTCTGGGTTAGGGCTATATCACAATCATGGTTTTCTTTCAATTGATTAAGTGAAAGAACATGAAAAAGTTTCAGCTTCCAGTTCATTCTGTAGATCTTGGGAACTCAAACAGAACAACTTGCAAACAAGTACCATTCAATATAACCCCAGCAGAGCCAGCTCAATACATTTTGCTGCCTGTGTGACATACACAACTCTGCCTACTTCCTGCCTCTGAACACCTGCCAACCCTAATTCATGCATGCAATCTTAACTAAGCATCAACATGTAGGTTCCCACATAAGAGATTGTGGCTGCTACATTCCTCCCTGGTTCCTCTTGATGCTGCACTGCTGGGAGCTAAGCTATGGTTTGGGTTAATATGTTATCCACACCCCAGCTCATGGTTTCTCTCCTCCAGACAAACCATGATACCAAGTTTGGATGATGCACTAAACCAAACCATGGCTTAGCCCAACTCAGTAAGTAACTTCAAAATATTTTGTTATAAAGAGCAATAAGCTTTCATTTTTAGAAACCAAATACAATGCATGAAGGGTAAATTATGAAAAGAATGGCAGCCCTAATGGAATAACTTTAGTATACTAAAGAATTGAGAATTTTCAAGGTACCAGATAAAGTATGTACACACACACACACACACACACACACACACTTACAAACACCCAGTTTAAAGCATTATTTTACCTTACATAACATTGAGCCCATAGAATAGAGAAAGGCAATACCAATTGCAGGCAATAATAAGATCATGTAGGGACATCTGGGCTACAGCTGATCTCTCACTCCAATATGTCATAGCTCGTGAGAGTTACTCTTGTGAAGAGATGAATCAATCTGCCAAAGAGCTAAGCATCCTCACTTCTCAGTGGCCAGCAAAAAAAAAAAAGACATTTGAGCCCTATGATTTACTTACCAGTCCTATCCTGATATCTAGACAATGCAGGAGAATTGTGCCTAAATGTATTGACCTCTGTCTTACATTTTTGGGGACAGAAGAACATGAGAACCAAGGAAGTGTCACTTCAGATCAGGTTGTTGTGTGATGAATGGACATTTCACAGGCTGGCTTGAGACATCTCAAAATGGAATCGCTTATTCACAGATGAAATGCTGCTCTTTCTCCCATCAATTTTTAACTTCCTTGAAGGGAAAGCATCTTTTCTTGGAGCAGAATTATTTATATATTCCCTTTTAAAGTGCCTTTTTTCGTATTATAGATATAGGCAATCCACACTGCTTAGAAGTGTGTGCTCATTTTAGAAAGGTCGCTAAAGTCTTTGCCTTGGTTACTAACATCTTACGGCAATGATTTCAAGAGGGTAATTAGCCCTTTAATTTACAACCGTTTGTAATTTAGAAACCCTTTGTGCTACACTATTTGGTAATTTAGAAACTTCAAGCTTTGTTGGTCTTCTATCATATGCTGTGTATAAACAGAACAGCCTGATGCCATGATGGCTGAGGACCTTTTTCTACACACCTGCTCATTCCAAAACACTTGCTTAGTAAAGTGAAGTGTTTTGAGAGCTTTGAGTCTCTCTTCTGAACGGATAAATCTTTTATCCACCCTTACAGTTTTGTTGATAATGTTAGCTCTTTACCTATGACGGCCTGACCTGGCCAGATAGCTGGCATATATTTGGACCTTGTTGGTACAGTTTAGTAGGTATAGGCTGGTATAGGCTAAGATTTCACTCTTAGCACAGTATAGTAGTTAGAAAAGACAAAGGTCTGAGCTGAGGTGTTTGAGCTAGAAGCTAGAAGCAGGCAGAAGTTAGAGAGAGAGAGAGAGAGAGAGAGAGAGATGCTTGTTTTCTGCTTGAATCCAATGCTGCGGCTATGGAGTGTTAATGCTGTGAGCCTCTCCATCATAGACTAAGGTGTGTAAATAAACCATATATCACAAAGACAGCTTCGTCTCTGCTTTTCCTCATTCCAAAGGAAACACGAACCCTGGGTAAGTGCCTGGAAACCCTGGAATTTTGCAACGTTCAGAGATTGGGGAAACATGCAACAAACACTATGTATGCTTAACCAAGAAACAAAACACATAAATGTTTACTACCTTTAACAAAACAAAAGCAATTTACATTTGTTGTTATGCTTTCATATAACAAGATTCTCTTAAGTATGGTCAGCATTTTTAAGTTGCTCATCTGACTGTAGTTTATTCCACTGATTCCTTCAGGACAAATTTATTTTCTTTTTCATCTCTTTAGAAGATATTTGGCCAAAAAACCACAAACCTTTTATACCACTGATTCTGCTCTTGGCTAATCAGATACCCTCTTATTCTGCCTTTCCCCTTTCATTAATTTAGATAATATTTTCCTTTAAAATGTCTGTTCCAGCCAATGGTTGTGCAATTATCAACTCCACAAAGCTGTTATGTGGTTTGTTGCATTGGTAAGCAATTATTACTTAGCTGTGAGCTTCATTGCATTCGCAGGAACAAATACCAATCTGTAATTGTAAAGTTACAAATACAAGCTGTAATTCTGTTCAACAAATCAGTTGCTATAGCTTTGATTTGGAACCGTGATTGCCTTGGCCAATGTATTGTATAACAGACAATCCCTGTGCCGAAAAATTGTACTAACTTGTTAGATAATGATCAGAGCATACCAAAGATAATTAGAATTTGGGACCATCAGGCTACCTCACAAACTAAAACTTTGGCCAGGCAACCCAGCCCACTGCTCCCTCATTTACCAGAATGATATTTTCAGTTTTCAGCTCCAAATCCCGCTAAGCTGATTGATTGGTACATGGCCTTTCTGTACTTTTTCTTTTTTCCTTCTCTACCTGCCACTGCTCCTCCCTCCCACCAGCTTATTTGACTTGATCATTCACATTTCCTTTCTTTTCAGCCATTGTTTAGCAACATATCACAAGTTATAAAGCCTGCATATGACCCAATAATATAGTATGTGCTAACAGATATTTCCAGACAAGGGTGTGATCTTTTATCCAGAGCTGTAGCTTGCCATGGAACGACGCACTGTATTCTTAATTACTTGGTTGTGTTCAAGGCTAGGGGCTAAAAAGCACAATTGCTAATCAGAACAATGCAGATTTCTCACCACAGTATGGCTGAGCACCCTTAGAAGGCAAAGGTGAGGGGGGCCGCTAGGGGCACCTTGGAAGATGGCCGACAATACCATCTACCCGGCTCGCACGAGGTAATTAGAGGCTGATTATGGGGAGTAAATCAGTCCCCTCGTCTTCCCAGGGGGTGGGAAGATGCTGCCTCGCCCGCTGTTGCCTATAAATCACCCCCGAGTTCGAAAGAAGGAGGGGGTGGGGGCACTGGGCAGATAGCTCTCGGGCGGGCTCTGGAGCTCCCAGATGCCGCTTTCAAGAGCAAAACTGGTTGCGTTGCTTAAGAGGAAAAAAAATTGGAGAAGTAAACGCACATGCTTCGAGCGAGGTCAGGAGTGTATTATCTGCTAAATAAATCTACCACTGAGACGATGAATGATGAGACGGAAGGAACAGAGGACAGCATCAAAGAACCACGAACATGTCGGTATGTGGAAAGGAATGGAAGGGGGGGGGACTTTCTTCTTTTTCAATATGATTACCTAACAACCCTCCCCCTTAGAAGAACCGTTAAAACAACTAATTGCAAGTGAGACTGAAAAATGAACTGGGGGGGGGAGTACTAATAAAAGGTTTTACTCCATGAAAGATCTGGAAAGAAGAGAGGCTTTCTTTATGGTGTAGTCACAAAAGCAATCCGCCATTAAGAGGCAGACCTCGTTGTAAGATTTGTAGTCTTAGGGAGGGTGAGCCACTGTTTTGGTATCAGGTTTGGATCGTAAATTCGAAAGGGCAAGAACTCTCCTGGAAAGGCTAATTTATGACACAACGGGTCTGAGAAAATTAACGAGCGGACATTTAGACTGTGTTTCATCGGAACTGAATAAGATGGTGACGGCTGCTCGAATGGGACTCTTTGACTATTGGATCTATGTGAGATGAATTACGGGAGAGCATTACAAAGTTCACACAGAAATATAAACAAGATTGTTTCTTTCAACTCACTTGTGGAAACAACTCGGAGGTGACTGAGAAGAAAAAGGGTAACGACAAGGAGATGAGAAGATGGGACTGTGAGCATCAAAGCAGCAGAAATATAGATGAATGGACTCCTACCAATCTCGAAGCATGGGTACCCCCCACAAAATTTATAATTTGGCAAAATATTTGGATTTTTATTATTTGTATTGGTATAATTTCGAATAATTAATATATGATTGGTTTGGTAAATGGAAATTTAATAAAAATTATAAAAAAGAAGAAGGCAAAGGTGAAGGTCATGACCCATGAGCCAAAAAAGAAGATTGAGTGTTCTACCTCTATACCGGATTTGAACTGGAGTGGCCAAGGTGTGCCACATGCAGAATGGAGGCAGAAGAACTTCGCCTTAAGAAAGTGAAATGACTACCCATTAAGTTGCTGGAGGCTTTCGTCATGACCAAACGATTGTGTTGGCAAACAGATCAAGCACATATATAGGGCACTGAATTAGCATGCATCTGGAGTTCTTGCTCCTCCACATGCAATGAGGACAAGTTTGTCTGCTAGCAGTAAATATAGCTGGTGTATGCAGAGGTTTGCTTCTTCTTTGTCCTTGAAAAAGCCAGCACTCATTGTACAGAGTGCTAAAGAGCAAAGCTAAAAAGGCCAGAGCGTACAGGTGCCAGCTG